AAAAAATATTCATTAAAAAAAAAACAGAGAGATGTTTACCTATAATTAAAGAAGAATAAATTATAATTAATTTAATCCCACTATAAGGTTTGTATTTTTTGGCCAATTACTTGAGACTTTAAAAAGTCTGTGGTGTCATTTAAATTAATAATTTTAATTTTATAATAATCCTATTCATTAAGGTAGTATTAAAGATAAGTATAAGCCAGGCTCGGAGGCTCAGCCTGTAATCCCATGCCTTGGGAGGCCAAGGTGAGTGGATTGCCTGAGCCCGCGGGTTCGAGACCTGCCTGGGCAACTTGGCGAGACCTCATCTCTACAATAAATAAAAAACTAGCCGGGCGTGGCAGCGTGAGCCTGTAGTTCCAGCTACTTGGAAGACTGACGTGGAAGGATCACCGGAGCCCAGTAGGTCGAGGCTGCGGTGCAGTCTGTGCGACAGAGTGAGACTCCAACTCAAAAAACCAAAAAAAAAACAAACAAACGTAAGTTTATAGCGAAGTTACAAATATTCCTTGCTTATAAGGTCAAAAAAAGTAAAATTTTAATGTCCAATTACAAATTAATAAGGAAGCGACTGTTCTTTTCCCAGTTGGGGGTCATAACTTCCCATATCTGCAATGGGAGGAAATCAAAGGCTGCCTTTGCAGCTAACAACCTAGCAGAAGACTATAGGTTATGACACCATCCACTCAAGTGTTAAGAGGAGACCAAATTTTTTGTTTATTCACTAAAAGTGAATAAGCAGTATCAGAAGAAAGAAAGGATAAAGCAGTGAATGTGAAAGAATTATACCCCACCATTTTTAAAGTACCCATCACAACAATCCCAACTGTAGCTCTTACCCGAACACAGTGAGTAACAAAAGAGTCGATACAGTCCTTAGCCTGGTGATTATTATATAGGCAGCACCTGCAAGATAATATTCACATCATTAAAATCAAACGGTATGACCCAGATAAAAGCAGCAGAGATTACTGTGTATACTACCAACAGACAGAGGAGGTGGAAAAGGAGAAAATAGAACCAATTACTAAGCTAAAGACTGCTAGCATTAGATTAAGAAGCACTTCACAATTACTATGTTGTCCATACAAGAAATGCGTGATAGTTCCAATTCTTTCAGTTTTATATTTGAACAATCAGAGTTGGATCCAAGAAGACCAAATTAGCAAAAGGAAAAGTCCAAAACCCCACTTTATCAGGACCCTATCCATCTATTTTCTTACAACTGATTTCCTCATGGATTGTGCTCAACTGAAATACTATTCAGAAACCTAGTTTAGTCCAAATGTATGCCCCTTCCCAACATCTGGCTATAAACTGTCATTTGTATATTCCTCCGGCACCTCAACTTCTCTCCTCAGAAAGTGGTTTCCTGTGCCATTCTTTATCTCAGTTCGCAGCATCAGGAAGTGACTGACACCTTCATGAGAAGTCTGGGAGGACCTGCTACCTTCCGGACCCTAGTGAAGCTATAGGGGCGAACAGTTAGCAAGACTTTTAGTTCTATCCTTGAGGGAGATCAGTATCCTTTGCACCAAGGAAAATGGGAAAAAGGAAAGAGACTTTCTCATGCTGCCTTGACAAAAGCTGACAACTTGCTACTCATAAGTGTCTGCCACAGCTCAGCAATATGACAAAACCCTCAAAGACAAAAAGAACCATAGGGATACCACAGAAAATGATAATGCAGCCAGCAGTCAGTAAAAAAAAGGAGAACACCTGAAATGGCAGTTGGTGGAACAGAAGGGCTGGGAGGTTCATTAGATCTCTAACCCCAAAGAAAGAAATTACTTAAGGAGACTAAAATAAAGCACTTAAAAAAGGTTTCCTAAGTCTAAAAATGATTTTCAAATTTAAAAATTCAGTGGAAACACGTTCACTAGTAGCCTTGAAAATCAGGAGGAAGAACTTTCTCTCATCACAGCAAAATAACAAGGAGATTAGTGTCAGGGGAGATCTAGATGATCTCCTATGACAGGAGTTCTAAAAACGAAAAACAAAAAAAAAATCAGATGAAGGTGAGGCAATAGTCAAATAAATAATAGGGAAAACAATATGATTGGAAGACTTGGGACTCTAATGACAGAGTTTCCGATAGGACTAGTTGAAAATCACACAGGAGCTGGTTGTAGTGGCTCACGCCTGTAATCCCAGCACTTTGGGAGGCAAAGGCGACAGGATTGCCTGAGCCCAGGGGCCTGGGCAACTTGGCAAGAACTCGTCTCTATAAGAAATTTAAAAATCAGCCAGTCATGGTGGTGTGTGCCTGTGGTTCCAGCACTTGGAAGGTTGAGAAAAGTAAATCATTTTAGAACACAAACTTGCAGAAATTTTAAAGTAGAGCTAAAAATGAAAAGATGAAAAATAAGGAGAAAAAAGATAAAGGTCTACTATGTCATAAGAACAAATAAATGAGAGAAAGCTTAAACTAATAAAAGTTGTTCCAGAAATAGAGCTCAGAAAAAAAAAAAATCTTTAAGTTTCTGTAATCAAGCTATAGAAATACCTAGGTTGAAGGCCAATAAAAAGCTGCCCAGTACACCTGGGATAAAAATTGACCTATATCAAGGTATATCATTATGAAAGTTGAGAATAGTGTCAACAAACAGAAGATCCTAAGAGACTTGAAAGAAACAAAAACAGCCACAAACACAGAATCAAGACAGAAGAATGTTGCTGTACTACTCAGCAGCAGTAGTGGATGCTCGAAATAAACACAAACACAGTTGAAGCAGCAATACTTCTGATTCAAAACTTACACAGAGCTACAGCAATCAAGACAGTGTGGTCCTGGATAAACATAGACTTAGATCAGTGGACTAGAAAAGGATTGAGAGCCAGGAAATGAAACCTCATATCAATGCTGTTTGATAGGGACATCAACACAATTTAATGGAGAAGGAAAAGTTCAAAAAGGTCCCGGGACAACTGGATATTCACATGCAGAAGAATAAAGTTGGGCTGGATATGGTGGCTCATGCCTATAATCTTAGCATTTTGAGAGGCCGAGGTGAGAGGACTGCCTGAGCTCATGGGTACGAGACCAGCCTGGGAAACTTGGTGAGATCTCATCTCTATAATAAATCAAAACATTAGTTGGGTATAGTGGCACATGCCTGTAGTTCCAGCTACTTGGAAGGCTGAGGCAGAAGGATCGCCTGAGCTCAGCAGGTCGAGGCTGAGATGGCCGTGAGTATGCCACTGCCCTCCAGCCTGGGTGAAAGAACGAGACTCTTACTCAAAAAAGTTTTTTTTAAAATAAACAAATAAAAAGAAAATCATGCATGAATACTCTGAAAAAACTTCTGAACTTCTAAAATAAAGAGAAATTCCTCAATGCTCCAAAAGAAAGTTTCAAGTCACTTACAAAGAAAAGAGACCCAGATCAGCATCAGCTTTCTTTTCCAGAATACTGGGATTTTAACAACAGTGAAACAACAACTACCACGAAATAAACTTTTCCATTCATACAGTCAATTCTCATTATTTGTGATAATTATGTTCTATACAGTGTCTAAGGATACTGAATTAGAAACCACTGAATCATTGCTACCAGGGAAAATAAATGGTTCAGTTTCTGTAAGCCTCTGATCACAACATTTTCATGAACTGATCAATACATAACCGTGTTTTATGTGTATTTCTGTTTAAGACCCTTTATTTAGTGTATACTGTTGATTCAGTCACATCAAACTCATAGACCATAACTCATGCATGAGTGAAATTTAATACATTTATTTTTTCTATAAGGTATATCATAGCCTTCTTTTGCTAAGGAAGACTACAAAGCATGTCACTATGCTTGAGGATTATTAAAAAAAAATGTTAATGTTTATTTTGTTTTAGAAACAGGGTCTTGCTATTTTGCCCAGACTGAAATTGAACTCCTGAGCTCAAGCAATCCTCCCACCTCAGCTGGGACTATAGGTGTGTACCACGGTGACCGGCAAAGACCATAAAAAACAAAACAAAAAAACCCAGTAAAATTGGCACAATAATCACAAAAAAGGTGAAAAATGTGGCACTCAGTAGAGCTGCTTATAGCATGAGGGCTGAAACAAGAAGGCAGAGGTGTCTTGCCGGGCCTCAGCACTTGCCGTTCTCCATGCGCCTGTTGTGCCATGTACGCAAAGATGATAGAAGCAGAGCAAGCACTGACTTGGGAGTTACGAATAATTTTAGTGAACAGGCAAATCTGGAAATACAGAATCAGTGAATAATAAGATCAATTGCAGTTAAATCTAAAGTATAATAACGAGCAACAATGTGTAATCTAAGTGCTACAGAAGGACTATTAAATATAAAAGACAAAAATACAAATTAAGAGGATTTAGACACTATTTCACATATATCAGATTGTCAAAATCGAAAGCCTAATAATGTCAAAGGTTAGATTATGGAGAAATGGGAATTCTTCTTATACATTTTTGGCTGGTTTAGAAAAGATTTAATTATTTGGAAAGCAATTTGGCAAAACCAGGAAAGCTGAAGATACATACAAGCCCCAGGATTCAGAATTTTAAGTATATATCCTACATGCAGAAGGAGACATACTCAAAGGTGTTCACGATAGCATCAATTTTAATACAAATACATGAGCAACTACTCAAAATGTCCAATTGTAGAGCAATGACAAGATCAACCGCAGTATATTCAAAGGGTAGATTTTAATGAATTAAACACACGTGTATGAATTAACTTGAGTAGACCAAAACCCTAATACTGAATTAAAAATCATGCTGTGGGAGGAGGCATTCAGAGTGAAAAAATTATGTGGCAGTAGTATCCCTGAGACGCTTTCTGGAGGAGTACAACAGCAAAAGAACATTAAGACCTCATTTGCGTTCTGCACTCATTCTCTCACCAGTGCACAGTGTTTCCACAGGCCACATGGCATGTATACCACAGCAGACTGAAAGCAGAAGCAGGGAAGATCGCCCAGCTATTTTCTAGTAAGAAAGACATGAAAGAGATTTGCAAAAGACAAAACAATGCCATTTTTCTAATTTTTCTTAGAAAGTTATTTTCCATAAAAATGTTATTTATGTTAACACAAAATGGATTTTTTTTAAGTCGAGGTCTCGCTCTGTGACTCAGCTGAAGTGCAGTGGCACAATCATGGCTCACCGCAGTCTTGACCTACTGGGCTCTGATATTAAAGTTACACAACTCTACACCTGGTTAATTTTTTTATTTCTTGCAGAGACATGATCTTGCTATGTTGCCTAGCCTGGTGTCAAACTCCTAGGCTCAAGCAGTCCTCCTGTGATGGCCTCCCAAAGTGCTGAGATTACACTTGTGAGCCTCTGCACCTGGTCTATTGTTATTTTTAAATTAATTAATACATATTTTTAAAATACAGATGGTCCCCAATTTAAGGTGGTTCAATTTCTCAACTTTATAATGGTGTGAAACCAATACACATTCAGAACAAACCATACACTGAGTACCCACACAACTATTCTCTTTTTAACTTTCAGGATAGTATCTGATAAATTATATGAGACAGTCAACACTTAATAAATACGCTTTGGGTTATATGATTTCACCCAACTGTAGGATAATGTAAGTGTTCTGAGCACATTTAAGATAGGCTGGGTTAAGCCATGCTGCCTAGCTGGTTAGGTATATTAAATGCATTTTCAACTTAGATATTATCAACTTATGATGGGTTTATTGGGATGTAACTCTTTTTTACATCAAGGAGTATCCATATTGTTTTAATTTCTAAAATAGCAGCTATCTATAGATATGACTCATGTAAAAATCTATCTGGTTCTGTAATTAATTTTAAGAATGTAAAGCGGTTTTAAAACAAAAAAAGATTGAGGACTGCTGCTTTAACTATATCTCTAATTATTTAATTCTTGCCACCCAAGCTCAGCCCTCCTTGGGACCTTTCAGTT